CATAACAACAACAACAACAATAGTATCTAAAGGAGTTATGGTAGCAGAGTCCGTAGAGCTCCAAAGGTAACACAGAGGCTGAGTTACTATTCTTATAGCTGTCAAGTCTGAGGGCAATTACAGCTTAATCTTCCAGTTGGTTTTCAGAGGCTGAAAATCACCTGTAAGAAGATTGTCCATTTTTCTCCCTCAGAGGATCTGGTGGATTTGAATTCCTGACTTCAGGAATAACAATCAAGTACAAATTCATATGGAAGCTGAATAAAATGAAAACAAAACCATAAGGCCCAAGAGGAGTCCTAACAGTGCAGTAGCTAAGCATAGCCTTAACTATATCCCTCCTGAATTTAGAGAGTGTTTCACTAATAAATTTGAAGTATTAAACCCTAATGACTAAAGAGAAGTTGTATAGTGGGATATAAGAGTAAAGCAAAAACAAAAGGGTATTAAAACAACAGATGGCAGAGGGGTGGGAGGAGCGATCAGTAAATTATGTCAGAAGAGACTCTGAAAGTTCTTTTTAAAAACATAAAGTAGCTAAATAAAACCAAAGAATTAATAATGTAAAAGAACTGAACAGAGATCTCAAAAGAGTTCAGTAAGACTATGAGAATGGAATATGCAAAGATGTAGCATTAGAAAGCATAAAGAGAAGGTCATGCTCGAACTTGCTACTGAAAGTAGAGAGTACTAGAAAGATGTGTACTTGTGTTTTATTGATTATGCAAAGATATTCCACTGTGTAAATGCTATCAAATTATGAATAGTACTGTTGTGAATTCTCAAACACTTAATGTGGTCATATGGAATTTGTGTATAGGAATCTGTATATATACCAGAAAAAGTCATTAAAATAGAACATGGAGATTCTACAAAATTTAAAATAAAGATGCACCTCATGCTGCCTCTTTTCACTATACTTATTCAATCTGTATTCTAATTAAATTCTTTAAGAAGCTGCGCTAAATGAAGAAAATCACAGCATCAGAAAACGACAGCCATTACTGATGAAGATTAAGACTATAAGTTTCAGTATAGATTACAGCTCAACATAAACGAGGGGAGGAGAGTAGCAACATCATAATAAAGAGAAAAAGATTAGTCAAGGATCTCCTCTTATTTGGATCCACAGTTAATGCCCATGGAATCAGCAATCAAGAAATCAAATGACATATCCTTTTGGACAGGTACACCGCAAAAACCAATTTCATTGTCTTTAAGTCAGAATTGACTCACAGCTAATTCTCTAGGGATTAAATGAAATTAATTTAAATTAAATTTAAATTCAAAGGGAGGATACATTTCTCTTTTGTAGTTGCTAGCAGATTTTAACCACCTGAGAAACATGACCTTTGGATTAAAAGCACAACAATCTAAAGACCATGGGTCTAGAGCTCCTTTTTTAAGTGTTATAAAGCAAAGATATCACGTTAAGGACTAAGGTACACCTCACATTAGCTATGACATTTTCAATCCCCTCAGCTACACAGAAAGTTGAGAAATTAATATCTGTGAACATGTAAGAAAAAGTGCTTTCCCTTTTGCTATCAGTGTAATATGGAAACTTAAATTTTAATCTATTTCCCTTGTTCCAAATATCATAAATGGAGGAAAGTAAATTTTAAAATGCTGGTTTTTATAAAATCATAATAGTTTTAGCATTATACCTACAAAAATACTCAAGAGTCTGAGTAAAAGGAAGGGAGTAAATTGGACAAATAGAAAAATGAAGTAGATCAAGAAGATAATAATTCAGACTTTATAATCATTTGTATCCTTTATCTTCCAGAGCTTGTCTAGATCTCTGTCCGAACATCTTCATATACAAAATATATGCATTTCCTATAAATGTATCATCTTAAATTCACCAACTAAAATCTCCTAAAGCCTTATTAAATTTAAGTGAAGTTTGAGAATATAGAAATTATAATTTCTTTCTTTAACTAAAATCTTTGAAGTGCCTTTTTTTTTTTGGTTTACCTGTCATTGCAGACCCACCTTGCCAGACGGAGCTCAGCAATATTCAGAAGAGGCAAGGGGTAAAGAAGCTCCTAGGTGAGTAATAGATCATTCTTTTGAAGGCTTTATTGCTTATATAAATAACCTCAGGGAAACAGAAACATAAAATCAATATTAATCAAAAAAAGATAGACTGAACTAAATTTTATCAACAATATTTATGAAGTTTTTGAAGGCCATTAAAAATTACTTTTGTTCCCTTAAATATTGAAAGACATTATGTCTGGTGTACTACTCTAATGTAATGTTAATTTTTTAAAGTTATTAAATAAAAATAAAGATATTTAAAGAATGCTAAAATATCAGCAAAATCTTCAAATATATTTAAGTAAAAATTCTGTACTTAACAGTTAAAAAATATATACATGGTTAGGGAGCTCTGGTGGCCTAGTGGCAAGAAGCTGCCCTGAAATCCCAGAGTATGTGGTTCAAATCCACCAGATGCTCTACTGGAGAAGGAGGGGAAATCTCCTCCTGTGCCATTTAGAACTGGTTTGATGGTACTCACACACACACACACACACAAAATAGTAAAAGAAAATTTTTGAAAATATATGCATGATTGGTTTAAAAAGCATATTTATATGATTACTATGAACAAAGCATAAATGTATGCTTTTAAAAGGATACATATCTAAATATATATTTACATCGATATCATCTATATACTTATAACTACACCTATACCTATGTCTATAACTATATATCTACATTTATTTACTAAAATGAGGCAAAAACATTGCCCAGAATATTCCAGGAAAAAACGAACAGAATTTTTAGTATTTTCCATTTGAGCAATTTACTAACTTATTCATATTGTGTAAATAGATATATTTGTGCATTTTCCCGCCAAAGTTCATTGAATGTTTATTAATGTACTTATGTATTTCACCTCTGCCCTGTGCCACTGTTTGGCAAAGTTACAGATCTGATTCATTTATTCATATTTTGACACACCTTTTCAATAACCATATTGTCCAAGTAATATTTTCATTCCTCTTGAAAATTTTAGTTCGATCACAATATATAAATGAGAAATGTAATGCTTCACAACAAAACAGTCCTAGATATGAAAAATTACTAGTGATAGAAACTATGTGTATGATTTTTTAAATATAACAAATGCATGTGATAGTATAGATCACAAGTGGAAATATCCAATTATCGCATTTTAACTATATGCCTTAGATAAGGCTTTAATTTCACTTGAACACTGTTTTAAACTTGATAAAGGCTTCTTATTAGCAAAATCTATTAAAATTAAGGCATTTAATAATTATAGTCATTTAAAAAAGGGAACAGTGCTTATTTCTGAGCATTGTTCCTTATATTTGATATATATGAAAAGAATTTTTATGTAGTATTAAATGGCCCAATATATTTATTCTTATTAGGATGTTGTTGTTGTTGTTATGTGCCGTCGAGTCATTTGCGACTCATAGCGACCCTATGCACAACAGTCCTAAACCCTGCTCTATCCTGCAACAACCACA